AAATTTATAACTCGTTATGTTATTCTACTCGTAGACAAAAGAGTGTACTTTAATTTAATATAAATTTTATTAAAATCTATTCACTTTTAGTATAAAAAATATTTACCAAAACTTTTTAAAGAAATAGCAAAGTTGTAAAATTTATAACATTACACACAATCTTTGATATTTCTTTGAAAAGGGTTGCGTATGGCTGTGTGTGCCTGTCCCGAGAATGTACTCTTTTCAACGTTGTTTTAATAGTAATTTAATATTCTATAGGATATCAAAGTATTATGTTCGATGTATAGGAAAAACTCTGTAAAAAGTCCTATTTCCGACTTCGTCTGAAGGCTCTTTGCATTCATAGTAATGCCGAGGAATTACTAGTAATGACTGATTTCCTACTTCGACGGTAACATATATATATATATATATTTGTTTGTATAAATAGGAAACAAATATTTAACTCTGTTAAATAGTATTTTAATAATTGAAAACGTATATGAAAATATTTCAAATAATACCTTACCCCAACTTTCGTATGTTTTCAATTCGTTCATTTATGAATATTTATTCTCGTACGCGTTTTGTGTTATTTCTTTTTTTTTAGATTTCGTACGTACGTATCACTATGTAGTCTCGAAGACGAAAAAAAAAATAATACAATGGGGAGGGGGGGTGGGAAAGAGATACAATCGACGCGTACGATTTATCGACCGACTTCATTAATTTACACGCTGGAAATGTTAGAATTAATTTGTTAATTAACAGAAAAATTTGTATTCATCGTTACGCGATATGGAAAATTATTCGGTCTTTTACCGCAGTAATCGTGTACCCGAAAAATTGATTCCTGTTATATTCACGTGGCCTAATTTTTCCTAACGCGTTTTTATTTCTACGATAATCAGTAAAACAATTGGATTTTAATTTAATTCTTTGATTAGCGAGTAAATAATTTTACATATATATATATATATACATATATATATTATACACATATATTAATACATATATATATATA